TGTCATAAAAAGAACCAAGTTAGTCTAACAACCTTTTCTGAACAAACCTTGATAATGGTACCATTCTTTTTAAAAGTTCACAAACTTAATGCTAGACAATCTAGTCTAGAACCTTGCATAGCAGAGACATTAATCTAATATATCAGTGATGGCAAACCTTTTAGAGACCGAGTGCCCAAACTGCAACCCAAAACCCACTTATGCATCGTCGGGTGCCGGGTGGGTGTGGCCCATTGGGTGGGCGTGGCCAATTGGGTGGGCGTGGCTGCAGTGGTAACAGACTGGTTGGGACTAAAAAGTTCAATCAATCAATTCCAACTTTGCAAGATCTTTTTTTTCCCCACGAGAAGTTGAAATTGACTGATTGATTGAACTTTTTTTTTTTTGTACACGGCGGTGGAGGCCTAAAGCGAAAAGGTTTTATAAAACCCAGCTGAAGGCGTAGGATTGGGGCGACGGTGCGCGTGCCTATAGAGAGGGCTTTGAGTGCCGCCTCTGGCACCCGTGCCATAGGTTCGCCACCACTGTAATATATGAATTAGTTAGATTCTAATGAGTCTGTAGTTTCTAAGATTAGCCCTCTTTTCCTTTTTGAATATTGGGATTATGTTGGCTGTTCTCCAGTCTTCAGCACCTTACTAGTTTCCTGTACTTTTAAAAAATTGTTGTCGGCTACTCTGAGATTATGTCTGTCAGTTCTTTTACTATTCTGGAGATAATTTATTAGGCCCTTGAGGCTTGAATTAATGTAAGATAATAAAGTAAGCCTATACTAAGCTATATTTCTCCCCATTCCTCCTTGTGTTACAAAGTGTTTTCCTCCCTCTTCTGAAAGAAGACAGACAGACAAATCAGTTTCATCTTCCCCATTCCTCCCCCTCTCCAATTTTACTTCTTCATCTTCATCAAGCAGCACACTAACAGCATCCTTGATTCTTAATTATAACGTATCTCCCCACCACAAATCTTATTTTTCCTTTTCTTATTTCTTATTTTAAAAATCCATTGCTAATTTTTTAGCTGCCTCTCTCCTTAAATACTTGGCTACTAATTTTATGCCATCTTTTTCATAGTAGCCAGTACTGCACCTACTTCTGTTTCCGATCTCTTTTTTGCTTCTTAATGAGCCAACTCACTGGAATAATTTATATTTTTGCTTTCAATATCTGATTTTTATAACATTTTATTTTTAAGATTTTAAACTGTAATAGAATGTTCACCTTTTGCCCAAGTTTAATAAGACCTTCTTTGTAATGTCCCATTTACAAAATTAATTTATCACATTACTGTTGTTTTTGCTTTTCCCTAGTTGCCTTGAAGTCTAAAATGGCATAGTTTCCCTCAAGGAATTAACAACTTCAACTCATTAACCAATGCCTCTTGATTGATAATGCCTCTTGATTGGTCAAAATGAGATGAAGGAAACCTGACTTTCTTTGTTTCCTCATCTACCTTCTGAAAAAAAAATCATCAAGAAAGTTCAGAAAATTGGATGTTTCTAGCTGGGTTATTTTTTTTCAACTGACATTAAGATAATCTTCAATTATTACTATAATCTCCCCTCTTGAAAACTTGATGAATTCTGCTTAGCGCTTAGCTTTTTGTTTGTTCCCATAGTTTATTAATTGGTGTACAAAGACTGGAGATGTCAGGGTTAATTGGTCTCCCTACATCTGTGTGATTCCTAAATAACTTTCCTGAGTAGCTATAGGTGCCATTTTTCTCAATGGTATCATCTTCTTTCAACTTGTTCTCATCCAGGATCTTACTTGTTCTTCTTGTTCACTGATTATGGATAGAAAATGCACAGAAACATTATTTTTGCCCGCAGCTCCAAATTAATCCAATATTCACTACTCCCACTGGAATGCCTTCTGCCTCTCTAGGCCTTTCTTTATGGTTTCTCTGCTGCTTCTGGACAATTTCCTCTGTCCTTGGGGATCTCACTCTGCTGGCTTTAATGGAGAGGTCTCTGTGCGATATCTGTGTGTTCTTCACTTTCCCTAGAGAGTTTTAAAGAAGAAAGAGTAACCTCCAGCAAAGAGGGACATCTGCATTGTCAGCAGGCATAATTAGCTACATACTCAATGCTCATCCTTTTGGCAGAACCTAAGGCTATCTGGTTGTTCCCCTCATACAGTTCCCTGTTGGTTTGCACTGGTTGCTCCCTGTCTTTTTTTTTTTTTTTTTTTTTTTTTAGGGCTAGGTGATAGCTGTGGAATAAGCTCCACCATTAGCTGATTTCCTGATCAAGAAGTCAGCTATGGCTTTAATCCTCTTCCCTTCAGACTGACATAGATGCAACAATAAATCAGTGCAAACAATAACAAATGCCCTCAGCCAAAAGAAGCTGCACAGCCTTTTCCCAAATTCTCCATATCACTCCATAACAAACCAGCTCCCTCGCAAAAACTCCTCAGTTTCTGCTTGCTCTTCTGTTTTCTCACTCTGATTTGGTTGCAATTTCACAGTTGCTTCTCCTCTTTCTAAAGTCTGTCATTCTCCTCCCTTATGTTTCTGAATGCACTGAACATCTCTTTTCCTGCAAAAAGACTGGCTGACTCTAATATAAAACTCTCTGGGGCCTAAAACATTCACAGGGATCAAATTGTTCCCTGAACCTCCCCCACATTATGTTCTCCAACTCTGAACTTTAACAAGCTGTAAATATGATACCACTGAACATTAATAAAAAACAACAGTTGGTCTATCAGATATCCCTTAGTGAGTATGACATCATAGATTATGTTTACTTATTTTTACATGGATTGCCCAATATTTTTTGCATATATGGCTACATCTAAACAACGTCCACACAAATCTTCAATGAATTCTATATGAATATGATTTCAGTTTCCCATAGACATTTCATGTAGCATTACCCAAATGTTCCTTTCTCTCTCATTCTCTTTTGTCCTATAATTTGTTTATTATTTATACATTTATATTTTTACTGTTTCTCTATGGGGATAAGAATACTCGGTGTGGTTTCTGACTATTGACATCAGAATACAGAGATAGAAGGACCTTGGAGGTCTTTCCCCGCTCAAGCAGGAGACCTTATATGATTGGACAAATGGCTGTCCCCTCTCTTCTTAAAAACCTGCAGTGATGGAGCACCCACAACATCTGGAGGCAAGCAGTTCCATTGATTAATTGTTCTCACTGACAGGAAATTACTCCTTAATTCTAGATTGGATTTCTCTTTGTTAGACTTCTATCTGTTACTTCTTGTGGAACCCTGAGGTGCTTTGGAGATTAGGTTGACCCCCTTCTCTCTGTGACAGCCCCTCAAATATTGGAAGACTGCTAGCATGTCACCTCTGTTAGATTAGACATTCCCCAGGACTCCTAGATCCCTTTCACAGTTTCTACTGTTGAGCCAGGTACCACTTATTCTATACCTGTGCATTTGGTTTTTCTTGCCTAAGTAAAAACCTTCCTTTTCTCACCACTGAATTGCATTTTGATGGATACGGCCCAGTGTTCAAGTCTGCCAAAATCCTTCTGCATCTTGAGCCTATCTTCTATTCCCCCCAGCTTTGTGTTGTCTGCAAATTTGATAACTTAGCTTTCTATCTCTTCATCTAAATCATTTAAGAAGATGTTGAAGAGGACTGGGACTAAGACAAAACCTTGTGGCATCCCACTGCATGGTTCCCTGTAATTCTATTGAGGATTACATGTTGAGTGCAGAAGGTTGGACTAGAAGACCTCCAAGGTCCCTTCCAACTCTGTTATTCTATTTTTCTGTTATCTTAGCATATGAATTGGGCTATCATCTTCTTAAGCAATGAAATGGTTTTTTTGGTTTGGGCAGGAAATGATATGCAAACACAGTGCTTGTCTTTACCTGAGTTATGGTTTTAAACAACTTTTAATTATCATTATTATTGTTATTTATTGTTTTAAAGTTTACTAGGTTTTAACATTTGTAAGCTGCTCAAAGTCACCTCTAGACAGGATGGGCAGCACACAAATCTAATAAAATAAATAAATAAATAAACTCAATCAGTGTTTTATTGACACTGAAAAAGTATATCTTTTTATCACATCAGAAAATCACTACTAATAATGATTTTAATTTTAACTACAGTTTTAAAAATGAGTTCAAAATTTGCTTGAGAAATCAGAAAAAAGTCTTAACCTGATAATGGAAAGATTATAAAATTAGCAGCAAATGAGCTTCTCTAGTATGAATAGCCAAATTTGTCAATTTTGATTTTGCTTTACTTCTTTTTTTTAACATTATTTATTTCATCCTATAACTATTTTAGTTTGCGGAGCTTTAAATGTCCATGTAGCATTAATATGCACATTTATGCAGGCACTTTTCCCTACTAGGCATTTTTGTGCTTAATTTTCCTAATTTATATATTTCTTGCTCACAGTTTGTCCTTAATATAATGCATTTTGTATGCATTTTAAAATACAGGAATGTATTATCACTGCATTCTGGTTTGCACATAGAATGAGATATGTAATTTGAGTAAATTACACAACCAAATTCTCTGCAGTCTGCATCCCAGTGACAAGGTGCTGCTACTAGAAAAATACATCCCTCCGAAGAAAGGATTCTGAGAATAACCTCATGATCCAGGAAACTCTATGCGTTAGAAAGTTATGTGGTCCCAAAATTGCATTCTTCTAGATTGCCAGGATACATATATTTGAGGTTTACATGGGAGTTTGCTCATATATCCTGAGGATAGAGTAATGTTGGTGGCACCAAAGACTAAAATAAATCTACTGTTGATCTACTTTGTGGCAGGGTATTCTTGGATCAATATCTATGGCTTGGTATACCCATTTATCAATGCACTGTGCTTGTTACTTGAACTCTGAGGTTACCATTACTCCCATCCCTGTTGGTAGAAACCACCATGGGAACTTGGAGAAGAAAGATGATAAATAATTCCAGTGCCCTCTAGTGGATTTCAAAAAACTGATTCTAGTAGCCTTCAGTCTTAAAAATTCAGTAGTATTTTTTTTTTGCTCAAATGGAAGCTGATCTACATATCCTACAGATGGATTCTTTTCTAGTGCATCTCTAACACACTTTGTAGCTGTTGGGACTGACGTTGCTGTTTTTGGAGGCAGGAAGTCAGACAGGAAGGAAAGAAGGAGGGTAATTTAAGGCAAAAGATCCAAACTGGGCAGCATAAATAAAATATCCAAAATGCTGTTTGGTTGATTCTATTATTCTTATGAACAGCAATTTGGCAAGATTAATATCTTGTCTGGAGCAGTGAAAGTACTGACCCAATTAATGGGAGTGATCAGTGGGACGGGCCTTGAAGTGCAGCTTAAATTGAATGAAATCAAGAGGTAGAGCCGAACAGAAATTATTCCTTTAAGTTATACTGTATATATAAATAGGTAAAAACAAGATGAGAGAGCACAAAAAGAAAATAATACCATCCCAGATTGTAAAAAAAATATTTTTCTGTTTAGAATTGTTCTGAAATAGGATAGCTTCCAATTCTAATAAAATAAAAATTAGTTGCAGAAAGTAATCAGAGGACTAAACAGATGATTCAGCAGAGAGAAAGATAAGTATTTGTGATTTTCTTAAATGTATTTTTAATAAATGTATAAGGAACATCTATCTATCCTGATATTCTATCAACGTATTTGCACCTTTTTATATAGCCAGTGCTATGTTGCTGGTTGACCATTCGAATGATGTGTAGCAAATAGCACAGTAGATAGAAGTAACAAGAAGTATGGATTGAAAAAATAATGTATCATAGACAAAGTTAGACAAGGAAAATAGACTGAATTATTGCAAGATGTACATGTATAGTAAAACACTAACACAAATACATGACCCTGTATATCTGGATAGACTATTTATTAAAAAAGGGAAGAGATGGACAGGTTTTAAGATGTACAACTGCTGGTTCAAAAGTAGTGTGTAGTGTATGGCCCATTATTTATTATGAGGAATGAAAGTTTGTCAACAGAAGCCAAAGTGACTTCCTATACGAATGTACTTCTGCCTACTTTATTACAGGAGAATCAGAGATGAATTTGTCAGGGGGAAAAAATGAAAACAGATTGAATGCAGTTAGAATTAAGAGGTATGGAGATGTAGTTAAACAAGAAGACATAGGTCAAGAAAGAAGGATGAATGAAGATGGATTGAATCTAAATTTAAAGAAAAGGGGCAATAGTTTAAATGATTTAGGGATGTAATGAAAGTAAGGATAGTTTGCAAGGATAGAAAGCTAAAGTTAGCTACTTTTCTTTTAACTCATGCTTTAATTTCTTTTGCTTTTTATTCTTTACTCTCTTTCTGTATTTTGTATAACACTGTTTATCCTGAAAAGAAATATCATGACAGGTATGTATGTATGTACATATGTATGTATGTAATTTGTGTGGCTGCCCATCTCAACAAGTGACTCTGGGCAGCAAGCAAATTTTTTAAAAAAATAAAACAATTATAATAATGCAAAAATTAAAATACACAGCAGTCAAAAAATAAATCATTCACCATGATCACTAAAATAACTAAGAAAAAGGTCCCTGTACACACTTTCCTCTTTTTTAACAAATAAAATAAATTGATCAACCAACCAGAGTATATTGGAGTTGAGGAATGAAACTCTTCCTACTGCTAGGCGGCTAAATCTCTTTGAAATCGCTTATTACTAACAAGATTAAGTTTTTGCCTGGAAGTATAGCAACTACAACTTCCTTCTAATGCTGGTTTGATATTTCTCAACTGATTTCCCCAGTCAACTTTTCAAATCTAAGAAAGGCATACCAGTTTGACTCTTGTGAACAGGGAGAAGAATTTTACATATGCTCAGAGAAATTCAGGATTAGTTGCCACACTTTCATTAAATAAGGGCAGCTACATTAGTTGGAAGCATTGATACAGTTTTGTCAGAACTGCATTTAGCTTCCTGCATACTGGACAAGAGTTCTCTTTCTCCTTACTGCCTTATTTGAAACTCTTGTGCAGTTTTGCCTCTTGCATTGAATGTGAACCAATCCACTTGAGTTTACAGATACATTTGTCAAGCCAAGTCTAGACACTCTGCAAACATTTGTTCCGGGACACAAACATTTGCCATTTACTGCAAACTGCTGAGGAACAAGGTTAGCTAACATTTAGAATCACATTAGCTAAACTCAAGTTAATCACCCATTAATTAATCCAAGTGCAAACGGAGACAGAAAAAAAAACTGCTTAAAAAAACCCTAAAGAAGGGAACAACACATGGAGTAGGAAGAGAAGGGAATGTGTTGATACAGTCCTCAAGCAGAGGAGGACTATACCACTTCTAGCCAAAACAAAGAACATTCTGCTCTAGCTCTTTTCATGCTGTATGCAGTTACAAAACTTGAACAACTATGTGAAATGTCAGGTGTTTATCTCTTTTTGCCCTTTCACCCTTGCTCCATTTTCTGACAATCCATATTTCTACTTTTGTTTGAAAGGTGCTGTAGTCACTGAGAAACTGATGATGGGGAAATGTTTCCATGGTTTGTACAGGAGTTAGCTCAAGATTTCTGAACTCTAATGGAGAAGTCATAGAGAAACTTCTCTGAAAAAGCATAGAAAGTAGAAACCAGGAAAATTCCCTTCCGGGTTTATTTTTATTTCCTAAGCAAATGTAACATTTATGAAAAGAGGAAATTGGCATTAGTTGGGGTTTACTGGGTTAAGGGGAAAGAGAAACATTTGCCCTATGTGCAGTTTCTGTTTGCTTTTTCTCTTGGTGAGAAAGATCCCCCTTTTAATGTGTAATGAATCAATTAAGTCATCAGAATGATTAACACAACCACAATTTTAATTTTACAAAATATTACTTTGCAGATTATACACTTTTGGAAATGATGGCTAAAGTAACTGGAAGTGCTTTGAACACTGAAAGGTGTTTTAGGCCAGTATTTCCCATGTGTTTAGCAACTTTAAGAGGTATGGACTCTCAGAAATCCCCAGCCAGGATTGTTTAAAGTTCACACATCTTAAAGTTGTACAGTAGAGAAACACTACTTTAGATGAAAAATAAGGACTTTTTTTTCTTCCTACATACCCGCCATGCTTTAAAATCTGTTCTTGCCTGCTCTGTTCACCTGGACATAACTAGTTTGGGTTTGAGCTCATTCTGCCAACTGTTTTCCATGTCAGGGCTGGCCCAGATGTAAATGAGGGCACTTCTGATTATTGCTGGAAAAGAAGTTATTCTGTATTTGTTTCTAATAAATCCCATTCAGTCTGACAAAAGAGAAGTGTTAGAAATTCATTCAGATAATAACATTATACAGAAATTCTTGGGGATGGAATAAGGTATTCTTGCATTTAGTCACAAGATGGTTAACAATTATATTTTTCTCTAATTAAAATATTCTCCATTCATCTTTGAGCTGGCAAAAAACTCAATGTGAAATTTGCTGTTTCTACTGCCAGTTCCTCTCATACCTCTTTTTGCTTGTTTCAGATCACTTCAATCGTTTGACTTCAGGTTTCAAAACCCTTAACTTTGCTCTTAGAGGATATCAGAATAAGAGAGGAGACTGCTTCAATCCTGAGGCAGCTAAAGATGACTTAACTCTGTCTCATTCATGGACTGGAGATGAGATAATGGCAACATGGAAAAAATGTTGCCAGGGCATGCTGATGCCATGGTTAGGTTCAGGTAGGGACAGGCCCTCTGCTCTATCATTAATTATAATTAAACTCCAGGGAATCACATCATGAGTGAATATTTATCATAGTTCTGTTTTTTATAGTGGTGCTATTATCTACACTTAGAGGTAACTCTTATTTTGTGTGAGATATTATTGGAGAATGTATTCATCTAGTGTTTCTCCTGAAAAACATGGTGAATTTTCAAACAAATATTTGGGCCATGACCAGCTTCAATTTGTGCAATGGTTCCTTCCACTTTATACTGGACCATCCAATGCTGAAGAGTAGTAAAACTAAAGTGGCTATGTCATTCTCCCAGTGTGCTTCCTGTTCTCTTCCAGACATCCCTTTATTCCTTCAGACTTCATGTTGCTATACCCATTCCTGAGTCAGATTAGGACTTTGCTTTTTTACTGAAGGCTTCCAAGCATCTCTGCCCACTCATTCTGTTCACAGGCTTCCACCTTCTTTCTCCATATGTCTCCTGACACCCCTGAAGTAGCTTTTTAACTCAGATGCTGCTTGCAGTTCACCATCTCTAGATTTATTCTCCTGGCTGCATATTTTTTTTTCCAGCTCTGGCCCAGTCTTTTAGCTCATTGCAAACTTTGCTTTCTATAGCTATTATCTTGCAAAGATTCTTGGATCAAGTCTCAAAATACATTTACATTTTAGAGATTGACATCACACTTCCAGGTACTTAATTGTTCCCTAACTATGGAGAAAGGTTCTCTAGATGATGAAGATTGGTCTTGTTCCCTATTTCTGTTCAGGCAACCATGGTGCCCCAAACACTTGAAGACGTCAAACGTGGTTGACAGCTCTGCAAATATAATTATCTTTATCCAATTTGATTTATACTTCAGCTGTACCAAGAGAGAGTCAAATGAATTTGTTCAGAGGTGTAAATCTGGCATTCATTGGCGTCTATTTACTGTAACGGAAACCTGTGACTATGGAGCATTTACACTTCAAAGAAAGCTGCAACTGCATGCTGAGAAACCCACTAGCATATAGTTTTGCTACTTTTTTTGCCAATATTTTGCACTCTTCTACAACCATCAACTACAATCTCCCCCCCTTCCCCCCCATCGAAATAATCAAGGCAATGTTTTGCTTCTTGCTTGCTTGTTCAATCTTGTATGCGGCCATATTTCAGAACAACTCCTGGTGTTTAGCAACAGAACAATACAATAAAACATCCACAATAAATTAATAATTAAGTAATTAAATGAAAACATCTACAATAATAGTAATAATAATTAAAACCATAAATAAAAGCCAGATCATTGTAATACAACAGGCAAAAACATCTTCTAGGCCCCTGAAAGTTCAGTGAAAGAGCTTTGTCTTTATCATCTTCCAGAATCTGATCAAGAATGGAGCAGATACTGTTCCACAATATCGGGATTGTAATGGAGGAGCCTCCTGGTCTGAGTCTCCCTTATTTCGTGAAAATGAGGAAACATAAAGTTTCTCTTAGGGTAAGATATTGGATGAGAATCAGTTGGTCTAGTGCAGTGTTTCTCAACCTTGACAATTTTAAGGCATGTGGACTTCAACTCTCAGAATTCCACAGCCAGCAATGCTGGCTGTGGAATTCTGGGAGTTGAAGTCCACATGCCTTAAAATTGTCAAGGTTGAGAAACACTGGTCTAGTGACTAAGGCATCAGGCTAGAAACCAGGAGACCATGAATTTCAGTCCCGCCTTAGGTGTAAAGGAAGTTGGATAATCTTGGGCCAGCCACTTTCTCTCAGTCCTAGAAAAGAGGCAGTGGCAAACCAGTTCTGAAAAACCTTGCCAAGAAAACTGCAGGAGATATCCAGACAATCTCCAAGAATCAGACACAATTGAACAAAAGAAGAAGAAAACAATATCTATCGGACAGGCTGATGCCAGTCGATGAATACTTTAAAGTTACTTTGAATTATATCAGAAAATCTATTAGCAATCAATTTAGGTGTAGTATCTTCTTGAGGTCTAATGCAAGCTAGTAAATAACCTGGTTCTTAGTTTTCTCCAATGATACACAGTTAACTAGTTGGGATGCAAAGTGGATAGATATTAATATATAGATTTACAAAGATTTACAAAGGCTGACACATTTGCAAAGAAATGCACATTTACTTAGCCATCTATTTATATCCTACAGGCTGAACTTGGGCAAAGTGGCTTAATTATATGACTAAAAGGATATAATTGAATTAAAAAACACCACTACTATATGGTAAAAACACTGATGTTATCTAAACTATCTGGGCAATGGGGTCTATACCTTATTCTTACTCAGAGTAGAATAATAATAATATTGATTTATTAAACTTGCATGCTGCCCAACTCTGGGCAGCTCACAACAATAAAACAAATAAATGACAATAAAACATGAAAAAGAAAAGAAAAAACCTAAAATCATAGCCTTTCTTTGCCTTCAGTGATGACACTGGGGTTAATGGAAGAGCTAATATGCACTGTGATGAAATTATGATCACAATGTCAACTCTAATTCACAAAGATCTTAAGGTGAAATGGGGATTTCAATTTTTTTAAAAAATATTTTTTCTGTGCAGTCTAGGAGCAATTGCTTTTTACACAAAGGGTTAAAAAGAAGTGGGAATTATAGGGTTGAAATAAGGGGTCCTTGGTGCTGAGCTTGGTTGTTTTCTTGCAAATGTTTCATTACCCAAACTAGGTAATATCATCAGTGCTAGCATAGACTAATACTGATGATGTAACCTACTTTCAGTAATGAAAGGTCTGCAAGAAAACAACCAAGCTCAGAGAGCACCAAGGACCCCTCAGAAGTGGGAATTCTTCTGATATTTCCTCCCTGCTACTTTTACAGTGAGATCATTTTTTAAAAAAATTGTAATGTGAAAATGGAATAGAAAGTAGAATCCTGTTTTTACCCAAGGTATAGGTTTACAACCTAAATATCAAATTTTGTATAATAAGAGCATATTGCCACCTAGTGTCAAACCTAAGTCACTTCTTGCTCATTCTTTTAGAAAAAAACAAGGTTTCCAGGCCATCCTGCTTCATTCAGAGTTGACCTTGTTTTGCTGCTATTACTATCGCTATTGTACAAGTCAGGATGAAATTTTTGAGCTTCATCAAAACCATCTTACCATACATGAAAGACAACCATCCTTTTCATAGTTGAAAATAAGAACGTAATAATTTGCTTTTAACAGGATGTCTGTCCATTTATACCACAGTTATACCATTTGTCTGAAATGGTATAGGGTTTTCTGCCTGAGCAGGGGGTTGGACTAGAAGACTCCAAGGTCCCTTCCAACTCTACTACTACTACTACTACTACTACTACTACTACTACTACTACTACTACTACTACTACTACTATTATTTGTTCACTCTGATTGCTGGTGGTTCTCTGAGAGAGATTGCAAAGCATACATTCTACCATGGAACAATGGCCCCTCCTAAAGTTCTGATAGTGTGACACAGCTGCTCTATCCCAGTCCTCTAATCAAGTTATCTGCTTATTAATTTTATTACATATATTAAGGCCACACAATCCAAAAGAGTGGCTGAATGGGTACCAATCCTCACATTGTATATTGAAGAAAGCTTTTATGTATTACTTTCATTCTTTCTGCAATCATTTATTTTCTGAAGTAAGAGGCATCGGTCAACTAACCAGAATTGTCCTTTTATTCATTTATATACAGCACATTTTTCCATTCTTAATTTATGCATGATTTATGGAGTTAACGCCATCTCCTAAGAAAATGACGACACCACTAACCTTGAATGAATTAAACAACCCATTTGTTTAGGCCAATACACTGAGCATTATCAATGTGTTTGAACTTTGGTGTTGGAGAATTTTTTTTTAAGAATATTGCTTTGGATGCTGACAACACGGTTGCAAGCTATAAGTACTTGAAATCAATCAAGTTGTAAGAAAGAAATGAATATGATGATACTGAGGTGTAATTGCCAGACATATTAAATAGATGAAAATGCTATAGTGCTAACCTGACTATGTATATAAGTCAGCCAACAATATTCATAGTACAGTCTTATATAATGTATGAATACCCAAAAATGCTCCAGTTAGATGACTTACTTCAAGTAAGACTATGTAGATTTGCCCTCATTATTATTACAGTACGACAGTCAGTTTGAAAGATTTTGATAAAATAAGCAACTGTTCCTCTTTAATTGACCTATAAGAATTATTCCCCATATTAAAAAAGTATTTGTATTTTTTTCCATTTTAGAGAAGGAACTCCATTCTGATCACTGGAGAACAAGAAATACTGCTTCAAATTGATTCTTTGTTGCAATACATTACCTGCATCCTTCCCAAACAAGGAACTATGCTAAATGTTTTCATTTAAGAAAATGTAAGAAAATTCAGTACATAGAACAAAGAAGTAATATCTCTGACTGTACAGTTTAGAAGAATGATAAACCTAAATGGAAAACATGGGGGCTAGGGGGAGACACAATGAACTGATATGGATGAAGGAATTACCTTTCACCTGATCCTCTCACCACATCATATTTTGTCCATACTTTTCTCCTGTCTCCAGATATATCCGAACCATGTATCTGGGGATCCAAAGCCAGAGGCAAAAGGAACACCAGCGGCGCTTTTACTGGGCTATGATGTATGAGTATGCAGATGTCAACATGCTGCGCCTCTTAGAGACCTTTCTCGAGAGCGCCCCACAATTGGTGCTACAACTCTGCATAATGATCCAGAAGAACCGTGCAGAAGCTTTACCGTGTAAGTGATGTGACTGGTGCTCCTCATTTTGGAACAGTTTGGCACATGTTTGAATTTCTCACCCAGGTGGAAGGTGGCAATCAAGAGCAATTCCCCCAACTGAAAAGAATATCTGTACTTTAGGGTAGAATTGTGGAGTCCTTGGTGCTCTCTGAACTTGGATGATTGCTTGCAGACATTTCATTATCCAACTAGAAAACATCATTGGTGCATGGCCCTGATGGTTAGTAGTTGGGTAATGAAATGTCTGCTAGCAAACAAGCTCAGAAAGCACCAAGAACTCCACAATTCCCCCAACCCTGTACTTCCCTAAGATTAAAGAAGGTATAGCACAGAATTTCTGAAAGCTAAAAGGTATTTCCTAAGAAGGTCTATGAGAAGGCTTCCATTCCTGCTTTTGCAGAATTTCAGTTTACTTTCCCCTGCTTGCCTTGCAGTGAATATCCTTGTGAAACATTAGAGAGGAAGTTAGGTGTCTAGCATTTGCTTTTTCATTACTACATATTGATTTTCCAAGAAGGAAAATCATATGGTTTCCTTCTTGGAAAATTTCCTAGAAAACCACAATCAAAGTGATTTAACAATAATAGTGCCATTTCAACAATGGAATTTTCTTTTGCACATAAATTATTGTATATAAATTTGGAAGAAGGTAATAGTATAAAGTAAATAGAATCGGAAGAATTCTAACCAGATACAGTACAATGAGAAAGAAAAATTTGTAATAAATGGCCATTAATAATGACTGGTAAAGCACTATCTCTCTTGCCCATAGTTTGCCTTGGCATAGATAAGTGATCAGTTCAGTCCCCTGGCAAGAGCAGTCCCGTACTTGCTGGATAAAGAGATGAGGGAAAAGGAGGGAAGGAGGACAGGAGGCAGAAGAGAAGAAGAAAGAGAAGAAAAGTATTAAAAAGAGAATATAAAATATTCTAACACCCTGTCCTTAGCTTCAGCCTTTGATTAAGTCTGAAGGAATGGAAACTCAGCAATTCACTTCTTCTAGCATAACACATCCCATTCCCATGATTTTGTTTATAAAATAAGTCTTGGCAGAGAACAGGATTTAACCCCATTCCGTTAATCCTGGACTTTCTTCTACAAACTCATGGAAAATTCTGATTCCGAAATAACTGCTGATGTGGCACAACTATTTTTTCACTATGTTTTAAAAGGACTTGAAGAATTCACAAACTCTAAAGAACTGTGAGCTAAGCTAGCTTCTAACCACAGACCCCGAGGCCTTTGATTTAGGCAGAAAAGAAATCTCTGACAATTTCTTATTTTTCACTTTTTGCAATGGATATCTAATTAAATGTTTTTCAGTTTTCTGAATTTAGATCACTATTTCTCAAACTTGATAAGTTTAAGATGTGTGGACCTCAACTCTCAGAATTCCCCAAGCAGTGCTGCCTGGGTAATTCTGGGAGCTGAAGTTGACACAGTCTGAGAAGTACTGGTCTAGATAGTGCCAGCAAGCATAGAATGAAATTATGTTTGTTTTCTTTCTCTCCTTCCCTCTCTTCTCTTTCTCAGATACACACAGAGATATATACACACATACAAGCATATACTAGGAGGACATGTTTATCTGCTATTTCAATTTCTTGTTATTGTTCTAAACTGGAGAAGCAATACTATTATCTCATATGGGATCATGTCATAAGCTTTGAAGCATTCTAGTGTCCTTACCCCTAAGACATCTTAAGAGCTCTCAGGGTCTTTATTTCTGCTTTATCCACTGTTTGGAGAGAATTAACTCAGCAGAAGTTTAATCTTCCCTAATAACCCCTAGAACAACCAGAAACACTCAGTGGACCAAGGCATTTTCAGAGAGGAGATGAAAGTGTTAAGATGGCACCTGAAAAGAGAGTGGGGCTTCACTCACATCATCACAATTGCCATTTTGATTTTTTGACACCTGCCCCCCACTAAAGATGCCCCTCCAGTGAATGATAGGAAGGCAATATACTGTTGTTAGGCATCTTTGGCTGGCATCTTCAGAAGCAAGGTGGTCTGCTATACAGACCAAAGGCAGCTGAGCAGGATTGACTGGGGTCCTGCCTTTATAGCCAGATGTCCTGACTTCCCAATCAAATGTTATAGTCCATAGTCAGGATGATACCTGTAAAAGACAGACTAGACTGTCGAGATAGAGGAAAGAGGTGGAGAGGTCAGGATCAGTTATCTTTAAGAGACCAACTATAAGCTTGTTGTTAAAAGGTGATAACTCAGCAGCAGAGCATTAAAACTGAATAAATTAATGACCTAAACTCTGAAATTTACCCACTTTGTTGTGGAGAGATCACAATAGAATAGCACTTTGTATATTTTCATGATTCTCTAATTCCCTTTTAAAATAAACTATTGTAACCTGTGGCTAGTGGACAAAACTACACTAGTGCCACTTTCAAAGATTTCTTATCAATCATGAATCAGAATATAAACTAAGCTGAGACACCTATCCGAGAACACATGTAATGACAGAACACAGAGAAGATTTTGGGCCTATTTTGTGCACAGATGAATTCAGTGAGTGTCCCTCAATAGCAGGATTTCAAACAAGAGTAGAAAAAGTTCACAATTCACTTTTTTTCTGGACAACTTTAATTCATGAAATTAGAAATCATAGTCACTTAGGCTATTATCTAACAAAATGAAATTCAATGTAGAGAAAAGCAAGGTTTTACACTTAGGCAAGAAAAATCAAATGTACATGTACAGATTACTGGCTCAAAAGCAGTAATTGTGAGAGGGATCTTGGAGTCCTAGGGGACAATCACTTAAATATGAGCCAGCAGTGTGCAGCAGCATCCAAAAAAGCCAACAGAAACAGAGGGATAGAATCAAAATCACGTGATGTATTAGTACTGCTTTATAAAGCCTTAGTAAGACCACACTTAGAATACTGCATTCAGTTTTGGTCAACTTATCAGCGACTCTGGAAAGAGTGCTGATAAGTTGTGTTAAGTCTAGTGAAAACAAAGACTGGGGGTGACATGATAGCAGTGTTCCATATTTGAGGGGTTGCCACAAAGATAAGGGGGTCAACCTATTTTCCAAAGCACCAGAAGGCAAAAGAAGAAACAATGGATGGAAACTAATCAAAAAGAGAAGCAACCTACAACTAAGAAGAAATTTCCTAACAGTGAGAACCATTAATCAATGGAACGGGTTGCCTTCAGAAGTTGTGGATGCTCCATCAATGGAGGCTTTTAAGAAAAGACTGGACAGCCATGTGTGGAATGGTATAGGGTCTCCTGCCTGAGCAGGGGGATTGTACTAGAAGACCTCCAAGGTCCCGTCCAACTCTGTTATTCTTTTATTCATTACCTGCTTACAGAGAGGCTATTAGCAATTTAAGAATTAAGTCCTTTTATTGATAGGCAATGAGATCCATCATCATAAATCATAACTGCATGTAAATTATAGTTGCTGCTTCTGTAGGTGATAAAATTATGCAAATGGTAGTCAGTATTTATTACAGGTGGGATCATGTTTATGCTTATTTGTCTCTCTCTGTCTCTCTCTCTCTCTCTCTTTCTCTCTCTCTCTCTCTCTCTCTCTCTTCCTCCTCTAGATCTTTTTCGCTAACCTGACTCGCATTATAATCATGTTTCACACCTGCCCCTCAAGAGGATGATGTAAGCAACTGCGTCCTTTCTCCTGTGTCTCCAGTTTAACTCTGTGGATTTGTGTGTGTTCTCCCGGCAGGTGTATCCTCTGTGGCCTCCCTGATGTCCCTGGCTTGGGTGCTAGCCTCCTATCACAAGCTTCTCCGGGACTCTAGGGATGATAAGAAGAGCATGAGTTATAGAGGAGCCCTTATCCATCTCTTCTGGCGTCTCTTCACCATCTCATCCAGAGTTATCTCTTTTGCCCTCTTTGCTTCCATCTTCCAGCTCTATTTTGGGATCTTTGTCGTGGTCCACTGGTGCGCCATGGCCTTCTGGATCATCCATGGTGGGACAGATTTCTGCATGTCTAAATGGGAAGAGATTCTCTTCAACATGGTGGTAGGGATTGTGTACATTTTTTGCTGGTTTAATGTCAAGGAAGGGCGGACCCGATACCGAATGTTTGCCTATTACACCATAGTCTTGACAGAGAATGCTGCCTTGACGCTCCTTTGGTATTGTTACAGAGATCCCGACACTACTGACTCATATGCTGTGCCAGCGCTTTGTTGTGTCTTTCTTAGCTTTGCTGCTGGGATAGCGCTGATGCTCTTATATTACGGCATCCTGCATCCCATGGGGCCGAGAGCTAAGATTTTTGCCAGCTCCTGTTGCGCCGAGCTGCTCTGGGGCATTCCTTTGCCCCCTGACATTGAACCCATGGCTCCTCAAACCCCTGGGTATAGGGTGGCCCAGGCTACGCCACCCAGAGCGGCCACGGAGCAACAGGAGGAACTCACAGCTGACACATGCTTACCAGTTTTCCAAGTGAGAGCTATGGTGCCATCAACTCCGTCTGGGAGACCATTCCACCCAGAAGGCCCTCTCATTAAGATAGACATCCCAAGAAAGAGATACCCAGCTTGGGATGCTCATTTTGTAGACCGAAGGTTGAGAAGGACTATAAACATTCTCCAGTATGTCACCCCCACCGCTGTAGGCATTAGGTATAGAGATGGACCTCTCTTGTATGAATTGCTACAGTATGAATCTTCACTTTAAAAGCTCCTTTAAATGCAAATGCCCCTACACACACACACATACACACACACACACACAACACACACACAAACAGACACACAGATACATGCACACTATTGCAAATAAACACCCACCTATTAAAAGAGGGATTTCATGGGCGGGGGTGGGGGGGAGAGGTGGGTTAACTGTTTATGGTCAAGACAGTTCTGAAATAACCTTCCAATAAGTTTTCTTTCTGGTTGCTGTATGTATTTAAAGGAAAGAGAGATCCTCTATGTTTTATAAGTAAAAACGAAATGGAAAGGTTTTCTTTTGTTTTTTACACATAGGAGAAAACAAGAACAACAACACAAACCAACCAGTATTGCAAACTTCCACGATTCAGAGGTTGGAGAAAAATTAATTACTTCACCTCTGAGTTTTATATCTTACACCAAGTGTAGGACATTATTATAGGGATTGGTGCTGATTGAAAATAATAATACTAATAATAAAAAATAAAACAAACAAACAAAAAAACCTACAACTGCCTTATGCCCTTAGGTGCTGAGTTTCATTATGTACTGTCACCTTCCTCATGCAAAATGTTTGATTATTTTAATGACATATAAATAAATAGCTAGATATAGTGACACACACACACATAGGTGTATGTATGTGTTTATACATAATAAGAAATTGTACAAAAGAATCAGGTAAAAAGGAAATGCCATTGGTTTAGTTAGATTGGCACAACACGGGTGAAAATGATTACCCTCCCACCCCCTAGTGAAGGAAATGCCAAGCTAAGTTTGAAGAGGGTTCATGGCTGTGTTTTGATTGGCATAAAAGTTACTTTAATTTGATATATTTAAGTTCCACTTCCTCATGCCATTTTGAATGAGACTGTACATTAACTGCATAGTCTCTGCTATAGAAAAAAGGGGGTGATTCTTTATGATTCACTATATTAAGCTTGAATCTCAGGGTATAATCCTCTTTTTCCCCCCCAAAAAAAGCAATGAAAACCCAGATTTTGACTTGCATCTGTTGTACAATGACCCAACGATTAGCATGGATCAGAAGCACAAAAATGTCCCTTCTGGCATAGAGTCTGCCCAGTTCATTGAAATGGGAGATGTTAAAAAAAAGTCCATGCGCAAAGCTGCTTATTTCCATTGAATTGAATAGGGAAAGCATTATATCCATTTACCTATTTTCTTGTCTGAAAAAGTTGAACCAAGATGCAAGTCTCCAAAATCAAGTTATTTCATTGGTTTTCAATGCAATTGTCATTGGTATCTTTAAACTTTAAAGCATAACTGGTCTATTTGATTTCTTGGAACACCTTTTAGATCACCTTTAATTTTAAACTAAGTACCAAAAACAAGCATGAGAGAAAAGAAGTAGTATTTGAAGGAATTTATAAAGTATTTTAAAATTCCATAACAATTTCTCTCCTCCCCTCTCCCAATCATTTTCAGTCTTAATAAAACTCAGCATAGTAGCAAAAAGAAAGTCCATTTAAAGGAACATGCTTTGATTGGAAATTGGGCTTCTGACTACAGGCATCATTTTAAGGCTACAAAGAGGGATATATGAATTGAATTTGCAATGATGCAGCTTGTTTTTGTGTGAGCCTTAAAGTGATCTTATGGCATTCTCTGGTTTGTTTATGTTTTTCTATTTTCTAAGGAAAAAAGGAAAACACAAAAAATGAAAATGGAGGATTGAATCTCTGTATGGAAATAACTCATTACTGATGTGTTTCTGGTGAAAATTTGGTGCTTAATATTTCTATTGTTTCTATAGTTGTCATGATTTAGCCAAGAATCATTTGACTCTAATAGCATTTCTGGGGAACTACAAACACAGACTTGTTCTGATGGTGTCCTCCGCTGAATGTATGTAGAAAAGAAACCACCATCCAAACAACAAGAGGACAGATTAGTATAGAATTTCAACCTCAACGTTTCAGATACCTGCTCACAGGAAAACTCTACAGCTAGACTCTGCATAAACCATTTGATGTCCGAAGGTTAACATTTTGCTTATTTTCTTCTTTGGCTCTCAGCTGGAATAGCAGACTGTGTACAATATTTCCATTCATGAATTGCTTTGTTAAAATTATTTTTCTCTTGTCTAGGGCATCTAAGATTTCAGGCTCTTGTCACCAATACAGAGGGACAAAAAGGGAACAAGTGAACCATCCAAGACCAATGCCAGTTTTGGGGTATGGGTGAAAATGTAAAAAAATGGCATAGCGATCCAAGCCAAATAGGTATCTTCAGAATAGAAATCCAACAAGGGAGAATGGGTGGAATCTAAACTGGTGGAAGCATTTGAAAAAGTCATACTAATTGTATATTTTAAGCTGAAAGTTCTTTTCACCTGAATATACCTGACAGTAACAGATTTTGCAGTGATGCAGGCATTGTTATCATTATTATTACCAATATGCTTCAGAAAAGGGTTGAGGATTTATTAGGGTAAACTCCAAATGCACAAAAGTCTTATTATTTTAAAAAAAACCAAATGTTTACTAGTCTCAGGGCAATTAATAATTCTTTTAGACTTAGCAACTCTGGGCTTCTTACTGAAATTTGTCGTATGGCTATCTTTTTATCCACTGTCATATTTTTCATTTTTTCCTATTTACTGAGGATAGTCTTATTTCAAGCATCCTGTTTTTAATAAAACACTGTATTAATTTTTTATTGGAGGGCACATACTAAAATTGAAATTCTATGCCCCTACCCAGAACCCTGGCTGTTTAAATATACGTAACAGATACCTTCTTGTATTTATTTATTTAAGAAAATTTGTATGGCTGCCTACCCACTCACTCTCAGTGACCCTCAGTGACTGAGAAATTAGAGAAAATATTTTCGCACAGGCAAAAAATGCAAAGAATTACAAAATGTTTGAGTCAACATAATAACACTATCACTATTAGCAATCCTAATTTAATAATGAACAGGGTTTCCCTTTCTGACTTTTTCCCCATAGAAATGAAAAATGGTAGACTCACGCAATATTTCACCTGTAAAATTAAAAATGAAGGGTTTTGGTAGAAGTACTCATTATGTGTAAAGAATTCTACAAATGATTTGTCTGTAACAAAATGCTTCCACTGTTCTATTTTTAAATTTCCCCTCCATTACATCTACATCCAAATAATAAATAGCAAATAAGACTGACAAAATTTTCCATGCAGCAAGTTTATTTAAATAAACCTGATTATTAAGGCATTTTCTTTTTAGGATATAGTATTGAAGAGAAATTAAAGGAATAGAGAAGAAAGTGCAAATATGTCTGAAATATGCAGCAGTGCTTCAATTCTCAAATAGAGTAGTATAGAATATGTGTTTATATCAAACAGTTCCAATGTAATATCCTTTACTTCATGCTATCAACCATAATAGTACATTCTTCTACATAGAGATGAATCACTCTATTGATTGACTAATTTATCATAATAAAAGTAGTCCAGCCTTTTCATAGTCATTATGGGATTGTGCTTTGTTAGAATTAGAATTAGATAGCAACTACCATCTGAAACCAGCTAAACATTAAAAAAATGAAAACAAATTCAATGAACAGAAAAATCTTCATATCATGGACTTCAGTTTTCTACTACTACAAGTAATGCATCATATTAACAAAGGTCTCCTTGTCATGACAATTATTGATCTAGAAGGCTTCAGATAATTCTCTATATATACTTTTCTCCTTTTTGCACATTCTTTAATTATCATCCCCCATCCCAAGACAAATACTTCTAAATTGAAAATAGTATAGGAGAGTAAGTCACTGATTTGGTTATTTTCTGGCTGCAGGGAGAAAAGCATTCAGCATGGGATATCATCTTTATTTGGCGCTACAGAGGCCACAAGACTTTCTTGCCAAAATACAAAGGATAGAGGGCTCTCTCCAGTATTCAGTTTCAAAATGAGCCTGTGATCCAAAGAAAAAATAGTACTAAATAAAACAAACCCTCAGAAGAAGTAGTAACATTACCTTCCAATAAATGGCTGTTTTGTGATTAGCTAGGCCCACCTTGGCAGCCATTTTAGGATTAAGCATGATAGTCCTTGTAGCAGCTTGTTTGTCAGAATAGCCACAATTTTTCACAATTGGTCACCTATTCCAAGGAATTGTTTACTATGGGAAAGCAATTCCTTTAGTTTCTCAGCAATAAATATAATTCCCACTCTCCCTTGAAACTGCAGGGCAAAATATCTCATTTATTGTTCCCATGACATTGTTTGAGTTGGATATAGTCAGATAGGATTAATGTCAGATTAAGACTAGGAAGACTCAGGATCAAATGCTTATATTCTTATGAAATTGACTGAATGACATTATAATAGTTATCTTCTCTTGGCCTAACATATTAAAAACAGTTTTAAAGATCATATAGTGTTGGGGGTGGGTGGAAAAATGGATACTTGGCTCTGAGATCCTTGAAGAATCTTAGAATATAAATGTAATAAATTATCCATCCAGGAACATAGCACTCCTCTGCTACTAATTAAAGCAGTCATAATTTTATTCAGGCTTCTATATGGAAGCTTATAAAAAAGAAGTGATTGCTATAATGAAGAGCAAAGAGTTTCCATCCTTCTGCTTGTATCAAATCCAAAACGCTTCTTCCATTTCAAAGCTTGTTTGGCCCACATATATCTCTGTTAACTTTTAGTTCTATGTGTAATTGAAAGGTAAGATATACACTTAATAAATCAATAATGAATTCTAATTATGACATTTCATCATTCTGGAAACTCACCAAAGTCTGAGTTAAAACTTTAAAGTGTGCTTCAGTTGTATGCAGGATAAAATACCAGAAATAGATCCTTATTAAATCCCTTAAATGATCGTGGGTCACTAGTTCTTAGTCCACCTCACAGAATTATTGTTGAGAAAAAGAAGCTTGCTCTTGAAAAAAAAATATAGAAATTAGTGCTATCCTTTATGTTCCCTTTTTGGTTTCTTTTGTTTGTTATTTTTATGTTTGGTTAGTTGATTTGGTTTTGTTTGTT